ATATATATATATTATTTTGCTCGAGGAACCGAAATCCAAAGATTTGACTCGTGCCTCAGCTTGTTTGACTCGATCCAAACCAAAAGTCGAATAGTGGTTGAGAGCTTAATTATAATCTATCAATGCCTACATTAATAAGAAGAAGAATATATGCAAGTGACTTTAGCATAGTGGTGGAGAGCTTCGTTTTTCAATCGAGGTCCTGAATTCAAGGTCTTGCATATGCCTTGCAAGTGAGTTCGCATGTGCGTGTGTAAAAAAAGAAGGAACGAGAATGTAAAATGTGGAAGCAATATGGCAGATCCAACCTTATATGAGAAATTGCTGAATGAATACTTCATCTCAATGTTTCGAGAACTAAGGTCTGCCACGAATTCATCTTCCTGTTCAAAGATCAATCAAAATCATGAGTGAGGTAACATATAAGATTTATATAAATATATAAAAATAAATTTACATCATGGTAACATATAAAAAATATAATATATATATATATATATGAATTTACATCATCGTCTTCACAGCTTCCTGGGTTACTACAATCACTTGCGCTTCCAGTATCGATCATGTCATAAATTTCATTAGAGTCTGAATGAATTTGAGCATCATCTGAATTCCAAGCATGTCGACTCTCAAAATAACTGGTGTCTTCATCATCCTGCGTTGAGGGAATGAATGCAGCCTGAAAAAAAATAGAAATATATAAACTTTAATAACTGTAAAAAGATATATAAAAGACTTACATACATATCATACAATTCATATGTATTTACATTTCTAACATCTAAACTTTGATTTTTTTACATTTATAGAATTTAACTTGAGCGTGAAAAGGTGTATTTCACTTTTGAAAGTTGGTATTAGTGGTATATTTGATGTGATATGAAAATTTTGAGTGTTATGCATGTAAGAAAACTCGAAGTTTTAAGTGTTGGATATATAATTAAATAGAAATTATGCGGTATAAATGTAAATGTCACAAATAATTAAGTGTTAAATAGTGCTTAGCCAAATCACCTTGTCTTGAAAATTTTTTAGGATAATTTTTGAAGTTACTCGTTGAAGGAGAACAAATATTTATCATATCAAATCTCTAAATAAATATGAGGGGCAGAACCATCCTCAAAATGTAAATTTTATTTTTTAGATGTTCGAATAAAGCTTAATGTCTAATATAAATTATAGCGAAAATATAATTTAATTTTAAAAAATAAGCTTAAAAATAATTTAAATAATTTTTATCATATTAACTTAAAAGTAATTAAATTTTCTCATATTTCTCAAAAAAATAAAACATTGTTATTAAGTACAAATATATTTTAGGATAAAAATAAACTAAAGTATTAAGAAAACAAAAAAAAAAGTTCAGCTATTTTAGTTTGTTATTTATTTATTACAAATATATAAATGTTAAATATGTAAATACTGTTGACATTTGTATCTAATATGGGATCCTATTTGTAACTAGAATAAGTCTAGATATTTATTTGTAAATATTGTAACTTGCTCTATATAAGTCTATCATGAATGAAATAAAGGTGGTTCTTAAGCAGTAATTTCTATTTGGTATCAGAGCTAGCCAAGTTTCAGAATTCTTGAGCACTGTCGCGATTGCTCGAGCAGGGAGGATAGAGCAGCAAGAGCACCGCAGCAACGGGATCGCAAGGTCGCAAAAGGATCGCTACTCGCACAAGGGAAGTAGTGACACGATCGCAGAAGGACCGCGAAGCTCCCATTTTTCTCGTTGTTCGCTCTCCCGAGAGTAGGAGAGGGGGGGAGTTTGGAGGTTTCGCACATCCCATGCATCCCGAGCGGAGAAGGAGTTCCCACATCACAGATGGAAAACCGACGATTTAGTCTTTGCTTTTGAGCGAGCCCTAATCATGACAACTGGGAGCTTCAAATGTCGATTCCTTTCGTTTGCTACAAAGTAGAGAAGTGTTGATTCCGTTGTGTGTAGGAACAAGGAGGTTCAAGCGGCTTCAAGTGGATCATAATCTGACAAGGGCTTTGGATCTAACATATAAAGTAAAGAATAGTCAAATTGAGCTTGATCCTTGATGATGAAATAGATCAAGGTGAAGTCAGAGGACTGAGACGTACATGGTATAGGAGGTAAGGAATTGGAACTTTTGATAAAGATTATAAAGTTCTAAAAGTTTTGGTCGGGCTTATACAGGGAGATAGCATCTCGACAAAAGCCACTACCTCTGACACTTACTCCAACTCAAGTGAAGCCAGATCTCCCTCCTGTGAATCTGAAGCTTGATGGACGAGCCACATGTGTGAGTTGGTCGCGTCGTATTAAGGCTACTCTAGTGGGGGAGAGACTAGAAAGATACCTATAGAGGTTGAGCCAAAGAGTAATAGTGTTGAGAGGGATGAGTGGAGGACCGCACATGCCTTACTTTAAGCATGACTAATCAACTTGATGGTTCCATCGATTGCCTCTTCATTGGATGACATTTGAAAGCTGAGCGACATTTGGGCTAAAATTAAGATCAATTATGGAGCTGAGAACCACATGAGAGTGTTTCAAATTCAACGTGAGATAGAGACAGTAGTTCAGGGTGATAGATTGATTCAGGAGAACTCTGTAGATTTGGAGCGGCTGTGGCAAGATCTTTAATAACTTATCACCTGTGGTGATCGGGGGTGCAAGAAGGGAGAAATCTTTGTACAAATGAGGACTATGCAATTTTTGGGTCATCTAAACCAGACCTTTGGTCGGAAGAGATCAGTTCTCCTAGCTCATATGACTATTCTTACACTAGATGAGACCATTGCTGCGATGATACAGGAGGAGAGTCACATAAAGCTAGACTCGAAGCCGAGTGATTTTTCGGGTGCACGATCAGCATTGACTGTTGCGAGCTTAGGTATGTTAGTTGTCCAGGAGGAGACTCGCAAGTGCTACAACTGTTGTGAAGTTGGTCATCTGAGTAGGGCCTGCCCTAAGCCACCTAAGGCAAGAGAAAATGGTGAACGTGGACAAGGTGGAGGTTGTGACCGTGATCGTGGGGTTGGAAAGGTGAAAGAGGGGACTATCAGACAAATTTGATTGTAGCAAAGGACGAGGGAGAGACATGTGTGATCTTTACTAGTGAAGATCATGAGTGTCTGGAACTGTTGAAAAGGAAGCAGAAAGCAGCAGAAGATGGAACTAAAGATGTTTCAAATCCATCGACATCAAGGGGTACCATTGTCACTTATACTCGCTTCAGTAAAGGTACTGGTGACACACTTTCTCTTGCCTCTATTTCCATTGCAAAATCATTAGAATGGATCATAGATTCTGGTGCTTCTCGTCAGGTGACAAGTACTGCTAGAGAGTTCTCTTCATAAACTCATCCAACAATACTAGAGAATATGGACTGTTGATGGTACGATCCAACCTGCAGTTGGTAAGGATATATTGAGATGTACCAATCATATAAACTTTGTCCAATGTTCTGCATGCTCATTCTCCAGTAAACCTCTTATCTATTAGTGTCATTATTCTTCAGTTAAAATGCATTATTTTTTTTATGTTCCTCTGGTGATCTTCCAAGAGAAAGGGGCTGGAGGGACTGGAACGCGCCATAGCGGACTCTGGTATTTGGTCCGAGAGAGAATAAACTCAGCTCCGACATCCATGATGGAAAGTGTTGCAGCAGGATAATTTGGCAGGAACGTCGAGGACGTGTTACTGCTATATCACACATGTATGAGACATTCTAGTCTTTGTTCATTGAGTCTATTGTATCCATCTATATATGAAAAGACAAATAAGGAAAAACTGGTGAGAGATGCTTGTGAGTTTGGCAAGCGCACTAGGGGCTCTTATGTCTATTTCGAAAATAAGAGCTCTAGTATGTTTGATTTGATACATTCTAATGTATGGGGACCTTTGTCGTACTAGTTCTATAAATGATTATCGATACTTTGTAACGTTATTGATTGTTTTTTCTCGTGTTACCTGGATATACTTGATGAAACACAAGAGTGAGGTGGTTGCTTGTTTTAAAGATTTTTTGCAAGACAATTCAGACCTAATATGGTGCAGTTGTAAAGACATTGAGATCTGATAATGGGATAAAATATATCAACAAAGCATTTTGAGACTACCTGTCAGCTCAAGCAATACAACTCCAAACCGCATGCCCATACACACCAACACAAAATAGAGTATCAAAGAAAAAGAATCAACATTTTCTAGAGGTAGCTCGAAGCATGATAATAACAATGAATGTACCACAACACTTATGGGGGCAAACAATGTTGACAGTGACTCAATTGATTAACAGGATGCCCAAGAGTGCTGGATTGGGAGTCTCCTAGTCAAATGTTAAACGAAGACAATAGTGTAATCCTTCATTTGAAGTTATTTGGATGTATATGTTTTGTAAAAGACAACATACAATATGTAGGAAAGTTGGATCCAAGAGTTGTGAAATGTTTATTTGTGAGTTATTCTGCTACTTAGAAGGATTATGTCAACTGGAGCCAAATTGAGGAAAAATTCTTTGTGGGTATGAATGTGTCATTCAAAAAATTTGAACCATACTACACTCTAGAGGTGAATTCACCCTTCAGTGACTCAACAAACACTAGATGTATGAGGCAAGAGAGAGTGAATAGCAATGTTAATGGAGTGGCGCAAGTGGGAGCAATGTTATATCTTGTGATGTGGGATGAATCAATTGAGGAGACAAAAATCGAGGATATTGACCTCAATAATGGTAGGATTCAGGCTGAAAATGAGTTAAGGGTGTTTACACAAAGGAAGAAGCAAACTGAGAGAACAAAGTCTGTAGTGCCAACAAATCTCTTTGTTCCGGTCTTTCCCAATTATTGAAACATCTACACCATCCACATTTGATGCAAAAGTCTCAGGTGATATTATTCCTCCTCCATTCAGCCCCCCCCCCCCCCCCCAAACATTAAGGAAGACCTCCCACAGCAATGCAAGGCATTCTCTTGATTATTTTGGGTGGGAAGTTGACATTGTGAACTTTATTTCTTAATCTAAATCTCACATTTGCATGAAAAATTCATTGCATCATTGAACTCTGTCTCTGTACCTAAGTGTTGTCAGGTTACTAAAAAGGATCCCAAATGGAAAGCAACTATGCATGAAGAGCTTGAAGCTCTTGATAAAAATCGAACATAAGAGATTATACCACCACTAACAGAGAAGAAGACAGTTGGATGCAAGTGAATCTTTACAGTAAAACAAACTCCAAAATGAAAGGTGGAGAGGTACAAAACACGACTAGTGGCAAAAGAATATAGTCAGACATATGACATTGGCTTTAATAAAATATTTGCAGATGCAAAGATGAGCACAGAGAGGACAGTGACTTCTCTGGCAGTAAATAATGGATGGAGACTCCGCCAACTGGATGTGAATGATGCTTGTTTTTGTGGGGAGCTACTGGAGGAGGTATACATAGAGATACCACAAGGATTCAGTATATCCCAAATAGTGGGCAAGTTCTGTAGGCTTAGGAAGCCACTATATGGCTTGTTGAAGCAGTCTCCTCGAGCTGAATTGACAAGTTTAGAATAATGATGGTTGGCATGGGATATCAACAGATCAATGCAAACCACACAGTGTTCTTTCGACAACATGAGAGTCGCACTATCATACTTGTTGTGCATGTGTATGACATAATTATCACTGATGATGATGAGTCAGAAGTTCTCAACTAAAGCGAAGATTGAGAAAGTAATTTGAGGTATATGATCCAGAATAACTCAAATACTTTTTTGGGATTGAAGTGAGTCATAGACCTAAGGGGATGGTCCTATCCCAGATAAAGTATGCACTATATCTTCTCATGGACAGATATGCGGGGGGGTGCAAACTTGTTGTCTCTCCAATTGATTAGAATGTCAAGCTTAATACAAATGCAAATGAATTGGTTGATCATGAGATGTACCAGATGTTGGCGGGCCGCCTGATCTATCCGTGTTACACTCGACCGGATATTTTTTTTGCAGTAAGTGTGGTGAGCCGCTACATGCATGATCTAAAGAAGAAACATATGGATGCAATGTATCAGATTCTGAATTATCTAAAGTGTGTACCGGGGAATGGGTTAATATTCAGGAAAAATGGGCATGCAGATATTGAGGGCTTTTTTATTCTAATTGGGTAAGTTGTGCGGATGGCAAACGATCCACATCAAGATACTACATATTTGTAGGTGGCAACTTGGTCTCGCGGAAGAGCAAAAAACGGCCGATTATAGCAAGATTAACAACAGAGGCAGAATACAGGGACATAGCATTAGGAGTTGTTGAAGATGATGTGGTTGAAATCCTTGTTGGTTGAACTCAAAGTGGATCAAGAAACTCAAATGAAGTTGTGCTATGACAAGAAGTCGGCAATCAACATTGCTATTGACCTGTCACAGCATGATAGAACCAAACATGTGGAGAGTGATAGGTTCTTCATCAAGGAAAAGCTGAATAACGAACTACTGGAGCTATGTCATGTAGTCACTGGAGAGCAAGTGGCTAACTGCCTCACCAAAGGACTTAAGCTCATTAAACTTGTCTAGGTTATGTGACAAAATGGGCTTAGTGAATATCTTTTGCACATCTTTAGAGGGAATATTGAGATTTGTATCTAATGTAGGGTCTTATTTGTAAATAAATGAAGTCTAAGGATTTATTTGTAAATGTTGTAACTTGTAAGACTATATATAAGCTTGACATCAATGAAATGGAAGTGATTTTTTAGCAGAATTTGGGTGGTAGACATGTGAATGCTCCCATGTGAAGAGTGCTCCTGAGTGGAAAGTGGGAGGTATATTTTGTCTTACTTTGCAAAATGACTAATAACTTATGCTTTTTAAAAGTAAAAGCATAGCCCTTGAGGTACAACAGTAATGATGCTTGAATTTAAAGAGTAATTGAAAAAAATTAAGTATTAAAAAATAATTTTAATATAATATTCCAATTTATATATGTTCAAATAAATCATTATTTATTTAATCATGCTAATAATTTAATCATCTAGGTCATACATTATCACACAATTCTTTTGTGTACTACGTGAGAGCTAGAGAGAGACTAGTGTTGCTTGAGAATAGGAGAGAGCAATGGGCAAATTATATACATTAGGAGGGCTAAATAATAAAATTACAAGTCATAATAAAGAAAACACAGAAATTCAAGGGGGTCAATTGCCCCCCGAGTTGAATGTGGGTCTCCTGATGATAAACATATCATACAATTCCTATATATTTGCATAACTGAAAACAAATATATAAATGCCAATAATAATATTTAAAAGACAATTCCTATGTATTTACATATCTGACATCTAAACTTTGAATTTTACATTTATAGCAATTTATTACATATGCATGAAAAGTTATATTTTATTTTTTAGAGTTAGTAATGGTGGCATGTTTTGATGTGATATGAAAATTTTGAGTGTTATAAATGTAAAAAAAAATCAAGTTTAAGTATCAGATATAAAAATGTATAGAAATTTTGCGGTATGTATATAAATGTCCCAAATATTTAAATGTTAGATAGCGTTAGCCAAATCACCTTCTGTCTTGCAAGCATGTCCCAGTTTATGTCTTTGAAGAAGGGATGAGCCTTTACCTGTCCTAATCATCAGAATTTCAAGTCTGAAAAGAACAACTACTTTTCCAAAAATTTAATTACACGAAAAGATTTTACCTCTCCTGCTCCAGTGGCTCCAACTCTTTGGAGTGGATTCTGAATAAGGAGCCTGAAAAAAAAAATAAAAAATTTTATATTTGAATTGGTTTGCTTGAACGCTAAGTCACACCATTTACCGTTGTAAGAGTATATAAAGCCATCGATAGAAAGCACATAATAAAGTAAAAATTTTGAAGAATAATGGAAAATAATAGAGCTACACAACTCGTACTTATTAATTAAGTCATAGGCTTCATGGCTCATCTCTTGTGGTATTTGTGGCCATGATATGTCTCGATTCATAATATTGTCAAAAATTTTCTGCAGTAGAAACATTTACAGTAATGGATCATTAGAACATCTTCCATTTAATGGGACAATCCACGATGGCTTTATAAATAAAGTTTTCATACACATTTTTGAAGTAATAAAAAGAATTTTGAAATATCAAATTGAAAAGGCTCAAACCCAGTATAATAAGGAAACATTTAAAGGATCAAGTTCAATGCAAGTCTTAGTGCAAGATTGTAAAACAAAATACAAATAGATTTGGTATTTAACTCTAACCCTCTTTCTATACCTGGCCAACTGAAAGGCAAAAATATGATGAGAGAACTCTTGAATCTCTATGATAATATCAATTGGTTCATAGCAGAATTGAATGACTCTAGATAGTGCCATGCACACCAAAAAAAAATTTTCTTTTCCACTGTTTTTTTAAACCCATGCCATTTTGGTGAGCAAAAACCCAAAATAGTCCTTCAACTATCGATAAGTGACTAATTTAGTTCCAGAGTTTTAAAGTGTTCCGCTTTAGTCTAGGACTATTAAAAATTGATCCAAATTAATCTCTAGGATGAATTTCATGTTTAAATTTAACATCAACCATTAAAAGGTACTTAAATTTAAAGAGTTTTGTATCTATTCATCAATTGAAATTAAATAATTTATACACTATGTTATAATGCTTTATAAAGCATACATGCAAATAAAAACATTTACTGTGAACATTGATATTCAAATGTGAAAAATTATTGACAGAATTTATTGTGCGCCTATGATGACTTTTGATGTTATTTTGGGAATAAACTGATTAGTTGAACATTTTACTATGATTACAACTGCAAGAATAAAGTTGTTGAATTTGCCTGCTGAGAAATCATTTTACCTTTTTTCCTGGTAGAAGTGGTATATATTCTATAATCAATGTTTTAAACATTAATAAGTGAATGAAAAGTGATGTGTTGTCAAGGACTGAAGTATTGAATAAATATGTTCAATAATTCATGAAAACTTCAATCATAGCAAAATTTCTAATATGTTTTTTGAGAAATGATTTGGACTACCACATAAAGGAGAAGTTAATTTTGAAATTGAATTACAACAAAAGATATTAGAATATTCAAATCTTTTTTATAAAATGGTTCCGAAAACATTGTGAAAATCAAAATGTCAGTTGCAAAAATTAATATAAAAGGGGCTCATTAAATTGAATGATTCATCTTGAGATGCACTTATGCTTCTCCTTAAAAAGAAAAAAAAATCTATGAGAATGTGCATCAATAGAGAGTTGAATAAAATAAACATCAAAATTAACCAAAATTATAAAAGATTGATTATTTGTTTGTTTAGTTGAATAGTAGCATTGTTGATGTCATTTTAGGACTCCTAAAAGATATTTACGAAGTGGGTTTGGTGGGGAGGTGGTCGTGGAAGAACCAAGAAATGAAAATATGAAAAATTAAATGGGATACGAGCTGAAATCTGCTGTTGGACAGCAGATCCGGCATGTTAGGCGGCTGTCCTGGCTGAAAAACAGCAACTCGAATGAGAAAGCGATGAGATATGGGAGGTGAGAAGATTCCACCACCTGTTCCTGAGCAATATATAGTCACACCACTTGCAAAAGAAAAAGTATATAGCAGTCTAATATCCAAGAAATCAAAATACAATCTCTATCACACACAAAATAAATCAAAAATTCGAAAAAAACAAGAACTACAAAAATATAAATAGTACATTCTCAAAATAGCCTAATTAGAAATATAGAAATATGAAAGATATAGAACTGAAAATTTTGGTAAAAATCTTATCTCCTTCCTTCATGAGTTGGGCTTTTACAGAGCCTTACAATCCCTTTTACAAATATCCACTAGACTTCTTCTATATTCCCTATTTACAATCAAAACAGTCAAAATAGGATACAAATCTCAACACTCCCCCTCAAGATGGGCAAAAGATATCCACTAAGCCCATCTTGTCACATAATCCAGACAAATGTAATGAACTAAGTTCTTTAATGAGGCAGTCAACCACTTGCTCTCCAGTGGCTAAATGACTTTAGTCTAGTAGCCCGTTATTCAACTTTTCCTTGATGAAGAATCTATCAATCTCAATATATTTGGTTTTATCGTGTTGCATAGGGTTGTTGGCAATGTTGATTGTTGAATTGTTGTCACACTACAACTTCATTTGAGCTCCTAGATCCACCTTGAGCTTGACCAACAAGGCTCTCTGCCACATCATCTCGACAACTCCTAAGGTCAGGACCCTATACTCTGCCTCTGTTGTTGACTTTACTACTACATATTGTTTTCTTCCGAGTGACCAAGTTGCCTCCTACGAACATGTAGAATCCTAGGGTCGATCTTCTGTTATCTGCATAACTCAACCAATCAACATCACATAGCCCTCAATGTCTAAATGTCCATTCTTCCTGAAAATCAACCCCTTCCCTGGTGCACTCTTCAGTTACCTCAGAATCTGATACACTACATTCATATGTTCCTTGGATCATGCATATAGCGGCTCACCATGCTCACTACAAATGAGATATCTGGACACCTGTTACTTAGATAGATCAGACGACCCACCAATCTCTGGCTTGGTTGCCCTGCATTCAGCTTAGCCTTTTGATTAATTGGAGAGATTGCATGCTTGCATCCTACCATGTATGTTTCTGTGAGTGGATCGAGTACATACTTTCTCGGAGCCAAGACCAGCCCCACTGATCCACAAGCCACCTCAATCCCAAGGAAGTATTTGAGTTGTCCAAGGTCCTTCACCTCAAATTATTTGCCTAATTTTATCTTTAGTTCAGTAATCTCTATCTCACCATCATCCGTGATAATCATGTCATCAACATACACATCAGACAAAGTGATGTGACAATCATTCTGACATAAGAACACCGTATGGTCGACATTGATCGCCTGATATCCCATGACCACCATAGTTTTTCTAAACTTGTCAAACCAGACTCGAGGGGACTGCTTCAAGCCATAAATTGACTTTCGGAGCCTGCACACCTTGTTCACTGTCTGACTTGTACAAAATCCTTATGGTATGTCCATACACACATCCTCCAGTAACTCACCAGGAAGAAAAACATTCTTCCCATTGAGTTGATATAACCTCCACCCACCATTCACAAGAAAAATCAGTGTCTTTACTGTGCTCATCTATGTAACTGGTGCAAAGGTCTCATCGTAGTCAATGTCATATGTCTAATTGTACCCATTGGCTACCAATCATGCCTTATAACGCTCAACTTTCTCTTTTGGATTTTATTTTACTATGAAGATATATTTGTACCAAACTGCTCTTTTCCCGGCTAGTAATGGTACTATCTTTCACGTTTTGTTCTTATCAAGAGCACCAAGTTCCCTAGCATTGCAACCTTCCACTTTGGATCATCCTTAGTTACTTACCAACACTTGGGTATGAGACAAACTAAACAATGTGATATGAAAAACCAAAACAATCAGGATTGTTTAATGTGTCAAATACCATGCTCATGTGCTTAAAAATAATAGAAAGTTCTTTATTGCACTTCATTATTAAATCCACTCACTTCACTCCTTAACTACACTGATTTTATCTGTAAATATTCATCATCAAATCTAGTCCTTAACATCAATAGATTTTCTCAGTAAAGTTGAATTCCATGAGAAGATATCAAGCTTAAGCAAGGTATAGATATACCTCTGCAGACTGCATAAATAATCAATCACAATAAAAAACATGTATAAATTTTATTGCACACATAACTAGATCCCAAGTATTTAAATAATTTTTATGAATTATTTTCCTCCATTCATTCCTTGTGGGATTCATTTCATAGATTTTGGCAAATATTTCAAAAAGTGCTGTCAAAAAGTTAGGGGAATAACATTAAAAAATTAGTGCATTGCTGAACAAATTCAGCTCGAGTTGATTAATGTGGTCATGGTTTTACAAATTTTTTTTTCTTTTTATCATCACTCAAAGTAAATTATTGACCAAATTTGTAGTATTTCTTAACAAAAAGTAAAAAGGTAGGTTTCTAAATTAGGAAAAAATGGAAAAGCAGTAATAACACTTGATATAACATTAAACTTACAGTAGCATACCTGTGGATGTTCAGCATTAAATGGTGGAATACCTACAAGCATTTCAAAAAGAATAACTCCAACTGACCACCAATCAGCATTTGGGCCTGTAAATTGAATATTGAAAAAAATCGTATCTTAATTAGCTGGGATAAGGCTAATGATGATGGTCATAATCATTTGAAAGATTCAAGTGAAAGAAAACTAAGGTCTTGTTTAGAATCAATTTTATTTTTTGCTTTTGTTTTTATTTTTTCTTTTTTTTTTAAAAACATATTAGCCTAGTGTGTTTTTTACAGGTTTTTATTTTTTCTTTCTAAAAACAAATTACCATATTTTTTAAAACACTCTAAACAACTTGTAGGTGTTTTGAATGTTTTTAAAAATAATCATGTTTTAATCAAATATGTCAAACATTTTCTTGTTCAAATCAAAACATAAACAAAACAAAATAAAAAATAAAAAATAGAACATAAAAAGCAAAATGATCCCAATCAGCCTCTATGTAGTTCACAGTTTACCGAAGAAGAAAATTCAAAATAGATGGCAAACCATGCGGCATTCCAAGAAGTATCTCCGGTGCCAAGTAATCAGGAGTCCCAACAGCAGATTGTTTTCGCCTTTGCTCTCGTTTTTCTGCTCGTAGAGCTGATGGTATTGGTGCCTGATCAAAAATTACAGCACTACTAACATCTGGGCCAGATAAATCATCAGTGCTGTTGATAAGTCCAACTTTAGAGAGCCCAAAATCAGTCAACTGTGGAATGATAATTTAAAGCGTGAGAACCAATAACTACAAGTTTATCAGAATATAAACTATAATAAAGAATACAAGTAGTGAATTAAAGTGCAATGACTACTAAGATATCTCATTATTGATATTGGACTGAACATTGCAAATGATAAGCATGCTTCTACTTGTTATGAAAATATTTCGTCCAGCTTGGCGTGGTAAGGTTGAATTAAAGCAATAACTAGAAAACATTATTACTGATGCGATTAAGTTATAGGTCTAAATAGATACAAATTAATTCTTAAAACATAGGATGGGGGAAAAATTCAATAACAATACTAATATTACATCTAGAACAACTTTAACAAAATCCATTAAGTCGTGGCTTTTCACAATCATGTTCAGAAATTTGTTCAAATAGCCACACTAAGAAACACCTGAAGATTGTTTAAGATTCTAGCCAAACTCCACTACATTAATTCCAATAATGAAGTTAAATACAGCTAGTACTTATGGAATTAACCATAGCTTATGGAATTAACCATAACTTTCTGTGAAAGAAAATAAGTAGAAAAAACACTAGCAAACAACAGCCATAATCAAGTGAGTAACACAATCCAGACGGCTCGATAAGCGAAACATACTTGTTGCATGAGATAATTACTTTCTGTTCTTATTATTTTGAGCAACAACAAGCAACAAATCAAATTGTTGGTGAGGTGCCTTCATATACTTCAGATATCAGGAGAAGCATCAGGAAGACAAGTTACACTACCTCAATGATAAGGAGTTTTGAGAAGCAACTTTATATATTCTTCTGAACTTTGATGAATCTAACCATTTATTCAGCAAGAATTCTAGTAATTAAAAATTGTTTGAGTTATTACTCAGAATTTTATGCTAACTTGTTCATATAGCTAATAATGTGGGCAGGTTGTTTGTCGGTAATTTAAACATGGATGACAATTTTGTCATAAGCAAAATGATTGAAGAAGAATTTCTGATATTGTTCAAATTAAACGTAAGTTTAAGTAACTCTTCAATTCACCAGTAAATAAGTTGCAAGCTCGAATTAAAAATAATTATATTTTAAAATTTGTAATAAGTTCATAATCAGAGCAACGAAATTACAGATCAATGTTTATTAGATCTTATATGGGGGTCTAATCGAAACATCGCTACATTATAAATATTTGATGTGAATGGCTATAGATTTATAACCAATTTCTAGTGTGAAAGGAAGAAGACGTATAATTGTGGTGTTTATGTTCGAAAAAATACTCACTTGGCGTAATAACTGAACATTTTAAAAAAAAAAATAATAATATAGTAATAATAATAAATGAGTGTCGATGATTAGAGGTATGAAAATTTATTTCACGCTTATTCAAAAACTTTTCCTCATTCGAGCCAGGAACAAAAAGGAGGCAGCAACAGTGAAGTAGAGGAGGAGGGTGATTAAGTGAAGTTGTCTTATCTCACCTACCTGAAGTCGTAGTATCCCGCTTACCTGTTTCGACGCTAAACCCTAGTCGAAGGGAAGTGGCATTGCATAAAGTTAAAATTAAGAAAGAGATTATAATGCAATAGTTAATTAAAATCAGTAAGAAAATAAAATTTATTTTGATTCAAAAGCTAGCATATTTTTTTATCAAAATAATTTTAACAATATTAAAGTAATGATTCCATAAGTTGATTGAAACTGAAAAAAAAAATTATATATAATGATATGTTAAGTAATAAATTCAATATAAGTATACCTTAAACATAAGAGAAGAGAATTATACTAAAAAGGAGAGGCTAATATAAAGATGAAATACAAAAGGTCTTAAAGTTAAACTTTCTAGAAATTGTTTAATCGATTAAAGCATCATAGTTTATTTAAGTAATAAAGATATGAGGAGTAAAAGTAAAAATATTATGTTATATGGTTGAAGTAATTGAGTTGAGAGACGTGAAAGTTAATTATCACAAAATATTAAATAATAAAATTAGGGATTGCAAAGATTAATGATGATTTATACGCTTGAAAGAAAATAATCATTAAAAATGAAAATCGCTGTTTAAAAAGAGCAAAATTAACTATATAGTTAAATACAAGAAGTAAAATGTTTTGTAGATATAATTGAATATAATGTGTAATTTTAATGTGAGATGATGAAAATTATAAAAGAACAAGTCTGACATACAAAATTTGTTGGTATAAGCACTATACTAAAGGGAGCAATGTTCAGAAAATAAGTAACAAGATAGCTTCCTAAAGGGGTAGGCAACTGCGTTTCTACTTTATAGTAATTAAATTCATGTAGCTTAGAATTTCGATGCATCAATTATTATGTCCTTTTCATATACACTTGAGAATATTATTATCACAAATATTTTTTAACAAGTGATTGAACATATAGTTACTTTAATAAATCTGTCCATATCGTTAGATGAAACATATACCATCTTATAAAATATATTATACATATTTATTATAAGTAATACACATACAGTATGATCATTTCAAGTAATATGATAATTAGAAATAATTTTAAGTGTATATTGAAAGATGGAGTTCATTCTTTATGATACTAATTAGGAAACTTATTTGCGCATAAAAAATAATTATCTACTTTCAAAAGTAGAAAAGGTTATTGAGATGATCATACCTTAAAGGTATAATTAGATGGTATTCCGATGACTTGTGAATTATATCAAGAATTTAAATATTAAAACGATAAAAAATAAATGAATGATAGTTCATATTAAAGGAGCAATATTAAAATGTGTTTTATTTAAGTTCATGAATAAGAAATAAGTATGATTTACGTACAAAATTTTATATGCATATTGATTTCTACTTCTTGAATTACTAAAAATTTAAAATGTATTTAGCTACTAAGGTGTTTAACTTACACAAAAATAGATGAAATAATTTTCAGGAAAATCTCCCTTCAATTAAATAGGAGAAAGAATAAAAAAACAATGAATATTACACAAAGATAGGTACTGCAGTAAATATCTGTATCCAAAGAATTTTGAAATAGTGTATCCTAAAGAAAAAATGATGTATTTTTGAAAATTTCATGAATAAATTTTAAGTTTTATTTGGATCTTTTGCGGTTGAAAAAATTATATTTGCAAATTTTTTAAATGTTAAATAAAGAGAATTTTGTGTCTAACTGTATGTTCCCAACTTGTTCCAAGTTTTTGAACTGGATCATGACAGTGCAACAAGAGTTTGTTCCAAGTTATGAGTGCAGGTATCGGTTGAAGAGGTGAAGCAGTAACATCAATGATGGTGACAGATTTTGGACATTTGTATGCTCCTCTTAAAGAAGATTGTCCAAATTAATAATAGCATATAATTTCCTTTATTTCCGATGAGCGTTTAAGTACATACTCTCATAAAGTTGTCCCAAAGGTTTTTCATATTCAGGGGTGGGCCGGGTTTGGCCATCTTACTGAGGCCTAATGCATAAAATTTGCCTGGGCCCAAAGACAAAAATTGGCTGCCTTGTTAAGGCCAGAACCACATATTACCAGCTGCATTATGAGTAAAATTTGTGAATAATTCAATGAAATAAACATTACAGCCTATGTTTTCATCTTTTTGTGCCTGGATGTTTGTATGGTGCAGTTGTTAATATATGTTGTTCCACAGGTGGTTGTCATAATCCAAATACAATCGAAAGGTTTAAATTTTGCAGCATCATTTTTATTCTAAGTTTTGCATCATCTTTCTACTCGGTGATTAGTTATAAATCTAATTGGAAACAGTAGAATTTAAGTTAAGATAAAATAGGTTGACCAAGGAACCATAAATGCGAAGAAATATTTGAAGTAGCGGGATGCTTACCTTTATATGACCATCACGAGCTATTAATAAATTGTCTGGTTTAAGATCCCGATGAATAACATTCAATGAATGCAAGTATTCCAGTGCAAGAACCTGCATAAGTTAAAAATCAAATTCAAATAAGCATTACCTTGGGCCATTTATGTAATATATGCTGGATCCGACCATTTTTCACTACAATTTTGTGCTTACTACTTCAGCAATGTATAATCGAGCCATGTCTTCACTTAAACATCCTAAATTTCTCAATAAAGAATAAAGGTCACCACCATTCAGGTATTCCATCACCAAATAAAGGTTTTCCCTAGATGTGAACGAATAATAAAACCGCACCTGTTTACAACAAACAAAGCTAAGATCTAAAATGCCTTGTAATATAAGGATTGGAACACCGCTTCATTATAAATTATGGGGAATATGCTTACCACAAAAGGATTTCGAGCAGAGATAAGAATGTTACGTTCAGCCAAAATACTTTCAACTGCATTCTTACGAATCATATCAGCCTTTTTAAGAACCTGTTTCAAGTTTATAGAGCATCAGTACCTTAATAGAAAATGAAACTTCTCCATGAAATCAATATTCTCTTCCAACTAATCTTCAGTTAAATATGAAGCACAAACTAGATTAGTGGAACATTTTGGAAAGTAATCCTGATTCTGTAAACTTCCAAAGGTAAATGTGTAGGAAAAGCAGAGAAAGCACAAAATTCATAATAAACTCAGTCCCCATACCTGTCTATTCCAACAAACAAGCATGTCAAATACTGTAAATCGTGTCTCATTCCACGCTAAGGATTATCAACCATAGGGTGAACTCAATTAAAAAAAGTACTGCCACATTAGCATAACAAGTTTAATATGGATTTAAATTAACTTAAAAGTGAAAAACTTTATAGGTAATTAAGCAAACAAGTTGTTACAGTAAAGGATGTAGGATATTATCAGTTATAAGGTTTCTTATGCAAATCTAGTATAGACTGAGAGCATAAGCTGAATGCAACACTTCTTTTCAATAGAAACTAATGAGATTTGTATCAAACGTAGGTTTATGTTTGTAAATATATGAAATTTAGAGATTCATTTGTAAATGTACCTTATAAGGCTCTGTATAAGCCAATCATGAATGAAATGAAGGAGGGTTTTTGAGCAATAATTTCTATATGGCATCAGGAGCTTGACCTAGCAGCCAGCCAGCCTCGTCCCGTTTCCTTTGCATAGTGCCCGCAATAAAGCTCGCTGGGAAGGCAGTCAGGATCCCGACACCGATAGCTTCGTGTGGGAAAGGAAGACGGGAGCACAGCGCGTAGCTACATTGCGATAGGTGTCACTGGGAAGGCAGACGGATCGCGGCACTTCTGCGATAGAGAAGGCAGACGACATCGCGGCACTTCTAATCACGATAGAGCTTGCTGGGAAGGCGGACGGGATCACGACACTTGTGATTGCGATAGAGCTTACAGGGAGACGGGATCGCGACACTTTATCAGAAGGATTGAAGCTTTTCTATCACGAAGGGCTTCTGCAAAGGTTTGATGCGAGAGGAAGGAGCGGAGCAGGGCTTCACTTTTGATGTACGTAGTAAAGTCCCGTGATTATCTTCTCAAGGAATTGTGGTTCAGAAGTCATGGAAGGAAGTCTATGTGTATTATGTGTGCTGTAAATTTATTCTTGTGATTGAGGATGAGGAGACGAAGATACTATAGGAGGTAAAACAATAGAACTTCTGAGAAATTTGAAGTTTTGAAGATTTTGATTGGACTCATACATGAAGTAGAATCTCGACAAGTGCTACTACCTCAACAAGTGGTCCAAAGCAGGCAAAACTAGATCTCCCTCTCGTGGATCCACGTATCTGAGTTGGTCGTGTCAGATCAAGGATGCTTTAGCAAGGAAGAGACTAGAATGATACTTGACGAAAGTTGAGGCAAAGAGTGATAGCGTTGAAGGGGATAAGTGAAGGACTACACATGCATTGATTTACACAGTAGTTATGAGGGCAAGCAGAGTTGACAGAAGCTCAATTGATTAACAAGATGCCCTCAAGTGTGTTGGAGTGGAAGTCATCTTGTCATATGTTGAAAGGAGATAATAGTGAGAGTCTTACATTGAAGGTATTTGGTTACCATCTGTAGGGAAGTTGGATTTTAAAGCCGTAAAATGTGTGTTCGTGAGTTATTCTGCTCCTCAGAAGGATTATGTCTGTTGGAGCCCGATTGAGGACTCTTTGTGAGTATGAGTGTGTCATTCAGAGAGTTTGAACCATACTACACTCTCGAGATGAATGCACCCTTCCGTGACTCAATAGGCGCGGGAGATATGAGGCAAAAGAGAGTGAGTATTAGTGATAATGGAGTGGTGCAAGATCAATGTCATGTCCTGTAATGTGGGATGAATCAACTGAGGAAACAAAAATCAAGAAAATTGAACCCAGAGATGGTGGGATTCATGTTGAAGGTGAGCTAAGGGTGTATACATGGAGGAAGAAGCAAGCCGAGGGAACAAAGTCTGTCGAGCCAATAAGTCCCTTGTCCCTACACCATCCACCTTTGATTCAAAACTCTCAGGTGATATTATTCCTCCTTCGTTCACTCTTAATCCCAACATTAAGGAGGACCTCTCATAGCAATGTGAGACATTCTCCATTTTTTTGGGTGGGTACTTGACATTGCAAATTTTATTCCTTATTTTAAAATTTCACATTTGCATTGAGCATTCATTGCATCATTGAACTCTGCCTCTATACCCAAGTGTTAGCGGGTTGCTAAAGAGGATCCCAAGTGGAAAACAACAATGAATGAATAGCTTGGAGCACTTGATAAAAATCGAACAGGGGAGATTGTACCACTATCAACAAAGAAGAAGACAGTTGTATGCAAGTGGATCTACACAGTGAAACAAACTCTAGAAGGGAAGATGGAGAGGTACAAAGCACGACTAGTGGCAAAAGGGTACAGTCATACACATATGACATTGAATACGATGAAACATTTGTACCAATTGCAAAGATGAGCACGGTGAAGACACTGACTTCTCTGGTAGTGAATGGTGGATGGAGACTCTACCAACTGGATGTGAAGAATGATTTTCTCATGAAGAGCTACTGGAAGAGGTATATATGGAGATACCAACAGAATTCAGTACATCCTAGTTAGTGGGCAAGGTGTGTAGGTTCAGGAAGTCACTATATGGCTTGAAGTAGTCTCCTCGAGTCAGGTTTGACAAGTTTAGAATGGCGATGATTTGTATGGAATATCGACAAATCAATGCAGAGCACATGGTGTTCTTTTGCCAACATAAATGTCACACTGCTATACTTGTTGTGTATGTACATGAAATAATTATCACTGGTGATAATGAGGTAGAGATTGCTCAATTGAAGGGAAAATCGGGAATGCAATTTGAGATAAATGATCTAAGAAAGCTCGAATACTTTCATAGGATTGAAGTGGCTCATGGACTTGAGGGAATGGTCTTATCTCAGAGAAAATATGTATTGGATCGTCTCACGGAGACAGTTATGGGCAGGTGCAAGTTTGCAGTCTCTCCAATTGATCAGAAGATCAAGATCCGTACAGAGGCAGGTGAATCAGTTGATTGTGAGAAGCATCATTGATGGTGGGCCACCTGATCTATTTGAGCCACACTCGACCCGATATCTCTTTTGTAGTAAGTGCAGTGAGTTGTTACATGCATGAACCACGGAAGGGCCACATGGATGAAGTGTATCAGATTCTGAGGTATCTGAAGAGTACATTAGGGAAAGGGTTGATATTCTGGAAGAATGAACATGTAGATATTGAGGGCTTTTGGGATTCTGACTGGGCAAGTTGTGCCGATGACAGACGATTCACATCAGGATACTGCATGTATGTAGGTGGCAACTTGGTCTCGTGTAAGAGCAAGAAACAGACAATTGTAGCAAGATCAACAACAGAGGAAGAATACAGGGGTCATGGCATTAGGAGTTGCTGAGATGGCTTGAAAGCCATGTTGGTTGAACTCAAATTGGATCAGAGAGCTCAATTGAAGTTGTGATGTAACAAGAAGTCGGCAATCAACATTCCTAACAACCCGGTGCAAAATGACAGAAACAAACATGTGGAGATTGATAGATTCTCCATCAAGGAAAAGCTAAATAACGGATTATTGGAGCTTTGTCATGTAGCCACTAGAGAGCAAGTGGTGGGTTGTCTCACAAAGGGACTTGGCTCGTTAAATTTGTCTAGGTTATGTGACAAGATGGGCTTAATGGATAATGGATATCTTTTGCCCATCTTGAGGGGCAGTATTGAGATTTGTCTCATGTAGGATATTTGTAAATAGATGAAATATAGGGATTTATTTGTAAATTTACCTAGTAAGGCTCTATAGAAGCCCGTTATGAATGAAATGGAGACTTTTTGAGCAATAATTTCTATAGAAACTTCGAACTAAATGCCACTGTCTTATGCAATAAAACATGTGATTATAGCTAAAAAATAGGCAGGCAACTAATCTTGAACAGCAGTTATTATGATTACGAAAATAGTAAATAGATTGTAGTTTGATTGAAGTGACTCTCCTGAATAATGAGAAGGGCAGAGTTTACACTCATCTTAGCTTAAGAATCCTAAACAAAAATAGCAAAAGAAAGGGGTATTGTTAAAAAAAGGTAAAGGGGATAAACCACTTGGCAGCAAGCAGTATTTCCTTTGTCACCTACCACCATCCATCGGCAGCAATCAGAAGCAAACGGCACATTCAACTTCCGAAAGTAGCAATGAGCGGCACATCCATCAGTGTAAGATAAATGGCTCAAGGGAATAATCAAGAATTTTCTCAATGAACTGAATTTCAGCCTTACGTATATTTTTATGAGCGGACTATTTTAATCATGATCAGATTTTATTTTCAAGCAGGTCCATAATGCGTTAGGTTGATGCGAGGGACTACAATGAACAACACCAAAAAAAATGAGAATTTATAGAATCTATGCGTATTTTAAAGCAAGGGAAGACTAATTCTCAAATTTGATAGTAAAACTGAAACTTCTTATAAAAATCACAAGGCAAGTTTTCACTGGAGAAAGTACACTTTAGGATTTTCTAAGGGGAAAATTGCAGGCGATGAGTGATGCTTCCTTCCTGAAGATGGAGTAGCTTATGTGAGTTTGCACTTGTATGGCACTTAGTGTCGGACTATAGAGTAAGAGTCAAATGCAAAAACAATATGGCATGGCAACAATTCACCAAAAAGAAACTTCACAAGCAAGAAACATAGAGTTCCTTGTGAAGCATACCTGGGGACTCAATAAGTAGGGAAATTTAACGACTACTAACTCTGCTTGATGAAGACAAAGATGATGGGTTTAAGTTCCTCGAACTTAGACATACAATTAATTAAGGTTTTTAGATAAAAATAAAAATTATGGAAGATAAAAAAAAGCCAAATATTAAAAAAGAAAAATAGGGAGGAAGAAAAAGAAGGAGCTGAAAGATTGTAAATGATAAAAAAGCCTCACATTTGAAGAATTATAC